AATAAACATGCAATTTATTTCCCAGCTGTTTACCTTCACAGACATAACCGACTGTTTTGTAACTCATGTGTTTTTAACATAAACTTGTGTGTGTATGAGAACTTAGTTTAGTACTCACATGCTGTGTCAGCCGCTTTCTGTCCTTGTGCTTCGGATGTGTGCTGTCAGAAAACTGTCTATCAGAAGTTTAAACTAATATGGTAATGAACTGTGGGGTATTTTGAGCTGAAACTTCACAGACACATTCAGGGGACACCTGAGACTTAAATTACATATTGTAAAAAGGGGCATAATATGTCTCCTTTAATATAAAAATTTAGGTAGAAAATTACACACACACACACACACAATTTCCTATATATTTTATATATTTATACTTTACTTAATTTTAACATGATATCGCGTAAATATTTGTCACAGATAAAATGTCTGTAATGTTTTATATTGAATACTAATAATAATAATAATAGACATGCAACATGTAGCAGCCTACATAAATCGAAAATTTATGGTTGCTGAAACTTGTTAAGGCATACTGCCAGCCAGCCATATTCTGACGTGACCTGTCAGTGGCGGCTCCTGCCAGCCAGTTGAAGATTGAACCCCTACTGGAAATCAGACTGTCACTGTCTTAAGAAAAAACACACACCCTGATTTAGCATCGTCGTTATAGCAAAATGCGCTGATAAATTCTGTGATTTGCAGACAGTGCTCTTAGCTTATGATTTGTTGAGCTGTATTGACAGCATCCTCTGAATATAAATGAAAGACTGTTAGCTAATTTCAATTTCAAAAGAATGGTCAAAAACAGAATTAGCCTCAATGTCCATATGAGAATTGTCAAAATACTGGTCTGCATTCTGGAGGTTAATTAATAAATAAATTAATCAGGCTTTGCCAAAACCAAGTCATAAATGACAAGAACGCTACAATGAAATACTCGAGAGTATAATGACATGCTGAATAAGAGCTCTATTCCAGTCTTTAATTTGTAGGCCTATCACATTCTTCTTACCACTAGATGGTGCCATAATGAAAAATATGAATTAAGGATTAGTTTAGTATCCATTACCCAGGTGGTCAAAATCGAGATCTTAAATGTTATCACGGTGATCTCTCCATTTTAATTTTCGCATGGTTTGCTTATTGTTTAGCATATATTTATTATCCAAAGCCATTTTCATGTAACAGACATGTAAAACGTTGAGAATGTTTAGCATTGTATATAATTGACCCTTTTTGCATCTAGAAGTGAAAGATGTCATAGTTGGGTAAACTTATATAGTGGTGAATGGAAGCTAACAAATATATTTTTGTGTTCCCATTTGCTCCAATAGTAAATATCCACAGTGTATGTGTAAATATCCAATCAGTTTATGATAGGTAAAATTCTCGTCTTACATTTTTTCCTCATTGCATATCATCAGAAATGGGTGACATCAGAGACATAAACTAGGTTGCGAACAGGGTTTCATTTTGACTCCCAAGTGTTCTGATGTCACATCAAACACCATCACCATTTAATGAAGCATTATGCTAAATGGGCTGATGCTTTGCACAGTCAACACCGGATATGCAGTGACATCCAAGCACTCTCCTTTTACTTACGACCACCTTTTCATCACATCATCTCTCTCTCAAATGCTCTGCTTTGCCTCATCATTAACCACCGGTTGACGACTAAATAGGCATTAACTCCACAGGCCACTAAATAAAGAGGCCTGAAGGGAAGAGAACATGTAAGATCATGATTTTTATTAATAACTCCCTCTCATCTTTCAATTTGTAAAGTAATCTTGAGCTATAACCCGCGCACGCATATAATCTTGCGCATACATGTACTGTAGTGCCCTCACAGAGTTTAGGCATGTAGGCCGTAAAAAAAAAATTCTCAGTGCTGATAAACACACTGAGCATGAATGCGGTCGGGCACGTATCATATGCTCCATTCTGGGTCAGACAGAAGTGCAAGCCAGAATTGATTGCCCAAAAAGCAAACTGACATCTGTGAAACCCAAGGAGGTGCACCAGCCTTGCCTCTCCATGTCGTCCTGGAGTGACCTAGTGCCACATTCTAGCATCAAGGATGAGCCAAGTGCAGCAAATAAGACACCCCCACCGCCCACCCTCTCCACACGTCCGTCTCCATGCTACATCTTGTATTTTTAGCCAAGATCTGAGCTGTGTAACACTTAATATGGCAGAGAATGTCTTCCTGTGTGCCTTAAGATCCCTTTCCTTTCCATCTCATAACATTGCCTTCTTCATAATCTTTCATTCATGCTTCATTTTTTGGTTGTCCCATACACAAACTTTCTGTTGTTTCCCTAAAGGTCATAATAAAAAGTTCTGTATGGTTAATTCTACTTTGCCTTGCTCCAATCTCTAGTCTGGCTCACTCCATGAAGAATCATGTCTTTCTTTTTTAGCAGCTCTCTCTCTCTCTTTCTCTCTCATGCACTCACCTAATCCCACCCCCTAAAACGCTCTTGACCCTGTTACTCGTCTCTTTTACCCGTGTGTAGGGGTTTCATACAGGGGGCCTCAGGACTTGGTCTTGTCTGATCTGGGTGGTGGGGATCACAGGTCCTTTCTAATTAAATTTTATGACGTAATTAGTCAATTTGTTTTCAATTCATTGGAACTACATATTTCCCTTCTTAAGTATTGAATCATGAAGTGGAACCTAGTGTTCCTTGGGCTCCTTCTGACCTTCGGGCAGCTGTCATGGGGGCAGAAAGGTATGGACATCCCTGAGTACGATGGAAAGGACCGCGTTCACGACCTAAATGCCAAGAATTACAAGTCTGTGATGAAGAAATATGACGTGATGGTGGTATACTACCATGAGCACGTAGGATCCAGCAAAGTCTCCCAGAAACAGTTTCAGATTGAGGAGCTGGCCCTTGAGGTGGGTTTCACTCAGAAATCAGCCAAAGGGGAGGGAGTTGTAGGTAGCACCTGGAACCAGTGGGCAACTGTGGGCAAGTTTGATGTTAATGAACATCCTTTACCAAAAGACATCTGTGAAAGGTGGAGTGTCATTTAGAGTAGATTATCATATTTGCTGTTGTTTTAGCAAAATATGACTTTATATGCACACCTGAAATATGCTTGCTACTGATATCACTTATTTAGATAAAGTATGGCTAACCTTTTCATTTAAAGTCTTCATTCTAGACATATTGCTTGTGAGTTTTACACATTGTGCAGTGTTTCAATAAGAGCAGAACAGATTTGAACATAAATTCTTGTGAATCAATGTCAAAACCATTTTTTATGTTAACTAAAACTGTTAAAAATAGTTCTTGTTAATTGAAATAAAGCTGAAATAAAATGAAAACGTATCTTTAAAAACTGAAACGGAAATAAATAGTTAATAGGTTTAACTTGGAAGTACTAAAATTACTAAAACTAAAACTGAAATAAAAAAAAACATAAATATAAATATTTATTAAAACTAATAAAAAATGGCATGCATTATGAAAAAAATCTCAACCAAAAAATATAAATACAAAAGTCATTTTTTAAGTTTTTAATAAATACTATAATAGTATACAAATAATTCTAAAATAACACTGGTTGTGTCTTAATTTCGATTCTAGCCACAGGTTAGATAAATATAAATGTTACATTTAAACCGAATGCAAAACTAAATATTTAGCTAATAGTCAAATGTGTTGCCCCTTGAGCAATGTCAATCAAAGACTCATGAAGCCAGTAGAAAAGTTCATCTCTACAGGAATTAGTGTGTGGCTATTTATAGCATGTAGTATTTTAATTCGGGCACTTTATAGTTCTGCTCTTATGGTTCATGGAAAGTTACATTGATAGTATAAACAGAGCTACATGGCACTTAAATTTTACAAAAATATTGTAATTTGCATTGATGTATCTATTTGTGGGTGGTTGAAACCGTAATTGACTTAGTATTAGCCATAGTTTTTGATTGCTTAACATTGATAGAGGACAATTACAAATTAATTTAATAAATGATATACATCAGATGCTTTGCTCTATATCAGAAGGAAAAGTACTCCACCAGAGCCAGGGGAATGTGGGGCCTGTTACACCAGCCATGAGAACACTCTGGACTATGGCAAATATGTTCAGAAAAGTGCTGATGCATCACGCAGTATATTTGCACCCTGAGCATAAGCCTGGATGGGTCATTTTTCAAAGGAATTTGTTTTTCTGGATTTAACTCAGTACATTTTCACTTGGGTTTGTCGACAGGCCCACGTGCAAATATCAAAACTAATGTTAAAAAAGATTATGTAACGTACTGCAAAGTAGCATTTGTAGCATTTTGAAGCATCAATACTGATTTTCTCTAACAGTGCAGTATGTAGAGCCTGAAGGACAGGGCCAGGGGCCAAATCATGAGTAACACTGTATTAGATTGCATAAGAAGACAGATATTAGCCAGCTGTTGACAACAGTGTTGTTATTGTTAACTAAAACAACAACAAAAAAAGAGTTAGCCTAATTTAAAAAAGAAAAGCTGTAATAAACGGTAATACACTTATTAGATCCTTTTTGTAGAACTGCTTACAGCTGAACTGAACTCGTTTCAAAATTGATGACCTTCACACTGTTATTGATCTGAACTGAACCAACACTGAACTGACTTGAGCTAAATAACACGATTGTCTATTAGAGCTGCTTTACAGCAAAATCTGAATTGACTCTATAATTGAGTTTCCATAATTGATTCTGCTATTTTCCTGTTTATCTCTGTAAAGCTGCTTTGACTCAATCTGTTATGTATAAAGTGCTATAGAAATAAAGGTGACTTGACATGAAAAAACTCAAATGATCTTAAAGGACAATTAGATATATTACCCTGGCGACTAACCGAAATAAAAGAAGTTTAAGTACTGAAATGACTAAAACTGAAACTGAAATAAAAATAAAGCTAAATAGAAATATTTTCAAGAATAAAAAACTAAATGAAAATATAAAAATAAAAGCTAATGCAATTAATAAATACTTTATAAATAATACTAAAATAACACAAAGAGTATTAAAAAAAAACAATTCACATCACTTTCATTTCAAATCAACCTTTCAGCTAAACATACCAATTGTAATATGGACAATGCCACAAGCAGTCCCAATCACCCATTACATTAGCATCTTCCTTTAAACTCTCAGCAGGCAGAACTCACCCCATGTGGTTAAAAGGTTATGCCATCGTTTAGCCATGCTGTCACCCTCCTGCATTCAATAGTGGCCTGTTGTTATTAAGGACTTTGTGTGTGGGCCACAGTGCAATCTTAAAGAAACAACAGATATTGATATATTGTGTTTGTCGTGTGGGATTACCTCATTTGAGTAACCGTATGTCTAAATCTTTGATGTTAGTTATAAAATAAGTGGCATACTGACGGATTTGTGTTGGACATTGTGTTTTTTGGGAGAAGGGCCAGAACTTCCAATCGCCTGACCTTTTAATTTAGTGGATTATTATTATTATTATTATAGTTGTTGTTAAAATAAATAAACAATGACAATTAAATAATAATAATAATAAATGATTATTATTTGTATTATTATTGTTTTTTGTCATTTAATATATGTGGTTAATGTGTTGAGGATTCATAGTTGACCCTCATACTGGTCTAACCAGTTTGTTTAACAGTTTTGTTAACATTGTCCAGTATAATTTATCAGCCATGCATTATGCACAACCTTTTTCTTGATAGGCCTATAATATGAGGGTAATAGGTTCTGTAAAAATTCCCTGTTTAAAGGCCCAATAGCTGTGGGTTTTTGCGTATGTGGCTTTGCTCCCTAATACACAGCAGTCCAGCGCTGATGTAATGTTACAGGAGTTATAATAACTTATAACAGCTTGTGTGCTGTGTGGATGCAGGAGGTTCTAGCATGAAATCTGCAGTGTCGGCTGAGAGGACCGAGTGTTGGGCACAGTACTGTACCTGTCAGCGGATCCCAGGAACTTGAACGTCACCACCACTTTGCCAAAATAGTCCTGGTTGGTCTCTGCAGCAGCGCTAATTATAGTCTGCTCTGCTGTCATTGCTGTTTGTGTGGTACAGGCCGCTGTGATGCTCCATAACAGAAGATCTGCTTTCTGCCCTTATAGAAACACTTTCATTTACACCAACCAGCGCAGGGTGTTCTGGTTAAATTTCCTTTACAAATGTTGGTTAATAATGTGTTGACTTATAAACATTCCTTAGGCCTCTGAGTAAACCTAGTTATAGATATGATACTGTGTTCTCAGTTCTGTTATTATTACTGATTTAGTTATCTTTCATCACATCTCTGAATTAGCGAATATATGCTGAATTGAAAAGATATGAAGGTATGACTAAGTGAGATGGAGAGATGCAAAGAGGAAGAAGAAGGGTGCATTACACCGTGGCTGTGCATTGGATTAAACATCTCCTCCTCCTTCCTCTATCCTGATTCTGATTTGTCATAAGCAAGCTCTATCTAGATTCATTGCAAAAATCCTCCTCATAAGCTATCCGAAATAATAGATCTGCAGAAGTCTTTAGTAGCATCTGAAATGTTAACCGTGCCAAGATGGCGGACGTGTTGACATCACAGTCTATGGTTGACATATGTGAACTAGTCAAATGAAGGATCTGCGTATAGATATCTATGCGATAACCGCTTGCTTGAGGGGAAAATTATCAGTGAATAATGACTTAAAATGTTGTCTGTTTTTCATACAAAGCTGTCACATGACATCAAAAGACTTTAAATACTGCGTGCATGTGACATTAAAATCCTTTATATGTTTATGCCGCTTATTATTATTATTATTTATTTTAAAAAAAAACTTTTTTTCTGAAGCTTAAAGACTTCAGTCCCAGTGTATAGTAATTGCATAGGGAAGAGCAACCAGCACATTGCTTCTCCTTTTGTGCTGCATGGAAGAAACAAAGTCAAACAAATTACTGACCATTTTAATTTGACAATTAATTTTTTCAAAGTGAGATATGTGTTAGTATGTATAGGAATTGGTTCTTCACAGTGGTTGGAGAAATGGTTGGTTGCACCTGTCACCATGCCAGCACCCTGTTACTCCAACTCAGCAGGCACATGTAGCGCTGTGATTGGTGGAAGCAGCTGTCCATCATACGGGTCAAGTTTCACACCGATTTAGAAATTGCAGGGGCAGCGCTCTTGATGACTGCTTTTATGGATGTAAGACTGTGGACGAAACTAGCCACAGTTCTTACAGCATAGCCTGAAATATCTGTGCAGGCAGAAAACAAATTTGCTGTCCTTGTCCAACACGCTGTGTTTGTACTCAGTTACCAAAACCAGGTTGATAATGAATACATAATGGTTGTGCTGATAGGACACAAACCCTCATGAGCTTAAAACATTAAGTCACTTTACCTTAGTGTTTCCAAATGAACAGGAACTGCCCTCTTAAGAGTTATATCATGTGAACTGGGTATATGTTAGGGCTCCACTAACATGCATTTAAACATTTAAACTAAATCACACATGCTGTTTAAAGGAGCTGTAGGACATTATTTTTTATTATATTTTATTTTTTTGTTACACAGCTTGCTGCACAAGTCCTGGAGGATTTTGACGATGAGGACATCGGAATCGGTCTACTCGATGAGAAGACAGACAAAGCTGTTGCCAAGAAATTAGGTACGTATATTCAAGAAACACTCAAATATTACCATAACTGTAATGTGATGTGATCTACTCAATGTAAATATTAATTTAGGGATTAAGTGGAATATTTGTACATTTTTTAACAAAAAATTATCTTTTACACTGCAAAAAAAAAAAAAAGTGTACATTTTTGTTTATACAAAACCTTAACCTAAAATGTTGATGTTTATGTATAATCTACTCAGTGTTCCAGTCAGGTGTGTTGAGGCAAGTTGGAGCTAAACTCTGCAGGACACCGGCCCTCCAGGACCGAGTTTGGACAGCCCTGGTCTAGTTTGTAAATAAGTCCATGTCTGTTACTGTAGAGTAGTGGAAGAAATATTATGACATTAGGTCAAAGGTCATTTTTTTGACATTTCATTGAAGTTTAATTGCATCTGATTGTGTGTTTTCTGGTGAAAATCCTCCAAATTATTTTTGCCTGTTTCAGGCTTTATTTCATGCTTTATTTATTCCTCTGGTACAGATTACTTGTTAAACTTTAGGATATCAGCAGAAGAACAACCATGACCTCTGGTGGACATTTCCCTCGTGGTTCTCACAGGTTTATTTCCATTTTTTGCGCTCTTCAGGTCTGGATGAGGCTGACAGTATCTTCATCTTCA